TAATGGTCCTTTTAATTGCCGGTGTATTCAAATAACATTGGTGTGTTTCAAAACTACATAAGATCAGCGACATATACATTTTGTAATTTGTCAGCGGAATGACAAGATTGTGATTTCATGGTAAAATACACTATGAAAGAAACTGTACAACATCTTAAACTTGTCATCGCCTCGTTCGCTTCTGAAACGTCTTTTTAGTCCGGTTCTCATTCACACGGAAACCTCTCAATTTAGACACATAGAGAACAAATTTCAATATTTAAAAAGATACCTTTTTTAAGAAAAACTGACGTCATTGTGATTAGATATAAACTTATTACCTAGTGTTCAAACTCTATTATGTTTTGCTAATATTGTATAAAATGCCATGAGTAAATAAGTAGAAAAAATATCGAGTTTTGAAAGTTATTCTATAAATATATTTTGTTTATGATGCACTTTGTATATGATGCACTGAACATTACAGTGTTTTCGTATCATACAAGTATACTTGTCTATGTAAAGATACCTACAAGGACGTGTTCGTGACAATAAAAACATAGACCTTTTGTTGTTTTGCCTCATTTGATTGTTAACCATTTATGTGTAATACAATGTCTTTACATGCTAAATTCGGACCCATTCTGCATAAATCTGGAGAAACATAGCATTTGCCTTTTTCCTTTCATTTCATTTTAAAGTGTATTATTCTAAAAACAAAATTATTAAGTATTCAATAATTTCGTTTATTATGTTTTAATATCTATTAAGATTGTGTTTAATTATATTTTAATACTTTAAAGTGTGGTTAAATATAAGTCTGTACATTCTATAAAAAAATAAAGTTTTTCCATCTTGGCACCGCCATCCTGGATACTGAAGATGATGCAAAGGTATACATATCATGGTAAGCAGAAATAATATAAAACCGTCATTGCCATTATAAAAACATACGTGCAATTATTTAAACGCGTCATATATGGTACTGTGAACACGAGAGATTTGAAGTCTCTCCTATCAAATAACCGTATCTCTCTTAAAAACTCTACAAAACTTTACAAATACTTTACTGAACTTAATTAACACGAACTTTGCATATACTTGTTTACTGTAATTGCTTGCAGTTCATTAAAAATCTCCCAAGACCCACTCAATTCATCAATCTCGTAAAAGGCAATGCAATATCACAACCCTTTATTGTTTTAGCATTAAACATAATGGTACAGAGCCGCACAGTTAAAGCTGCTCTTGAGTCCATTGCAGTTAAAGTACCACCGATACGTAAAACATTGAATCTAAAACAAAGAATAGCGTCAAAATGTTAACATATGTACACAGACAGATGATTTCTATACGTATATAAATCTATAACTAGGTAGCATTTAAGCACGGTGATTTACATATTGAGCTTTGTCACTAATGGATAGTGTTTAACTAATATTGCCAGGAAGGAGTAAATAAATGGTTAGTTTGCATACAAATCGCGGATATATTACAATGTTCTGACTCTGTATAAATGTATGTATCGTAAACCTAGAACAATTAAGGTTTGTAATTTTGAATTGTCGTTCACATGTAGGAGTGATGCGTTGATTTGGTCTTGAGAGGAGTTGATTGAACTGCGAAACGATTAGTATTGATATGTTTACAATGTAAACTCAGTTAATTACCCCATGAAATCGACGATAGCAAGATTCAATCCTTAAATGTTTAGGTTTACAGTTATATTTGCAGTTGTCAATCCTTACATTTCAATTACATACAGTTGTTAATGAATGGAGCATATTTAATGATAAACAGGATATATCAGACCTGATGCACATCCACTACATATAGTCCGTCATTGAATTTCCATTTTCATTAACCAAATCACTCTGAATACATCGCAATAGTAAAGTACACATATGTACTGTAATGTATGGACTAGCATGTATCCGGATTATTATCCTGCATGTAGCCATTCCCCAACAGCACCGCATGGTTCCGGTGTATGTACTGCGCATGTTCAAAGATGCCTCGCAGTGGTTCGTTTGGTCTTATCTGTTTATGTTACACCATCACTATGATACATTACATGAACTTTATTAACTTTTGACTATTGTTAACTTCAAGTATACGAAACTGTTTCTAGTGTTACGGCAGACTGATACTGTGTTAATGGCGTGCGACTAGATGCATATTCATATGCGTTGGCAGTGTTAATTTAGTAAATCGATTTAACAAATGAAACGGATAACATTGTTAGTTTTATTGAGTCTAACTTACTCAAATAATTGAGATATTGATATATGAGTAAGTAACAGAAAACCAAAAAAAGCGTCTAAGTTTCTACAAATAGCCAGCAGCCGTGAACTATTTTTATTACTATGTAAAATAGATAGTTAAAATGTAATTCACTTAATAATCATGTTCAGTAAATAAAAAAAACTGACTCAAGAGTGGCCTAATGTTACAGCTGCATAGACTGTACACATATATACATCGTATGATAAATACAGATGGTGAGTTATATCACGAGAAGTTGTTGGCTGACACAGTCGTTGTACACAGTGATAACGATACAGTTCACATCTCTCTCATAATGCACACACGCTCTGCAATCATTACAACAGGGTCGTGGGCCTTGTATCTCTCAAACATATATATTTGCTATAGAAACTGTCAGTATTTAAATAGATTACGTATTCACTTAAACAATTAAATAACTACACTTGTTCAGGACAAAGGCATGAACAGTCAATAATAAGGCATGGAATCTATGGTAGTTTTCCAAAAACAAAACAACACCTTTTCACGAATATGGAATGATTATCGCTAATTAGCTAAGTGAAAATCGAGTTAACGAAAGATAATAAGAACCAATTTGTCAAACATTAAACCGTTTGTTATGATACCGAGGCTGCTCCATCCTCGATACTATCCATGGGTCACGCTCATTTACGCTTTATTCACCCCTGGAATACGTCATGGCAAAGTTGAATTGTCTCAGTTAAAACATCCTGACCAATCGCTAGGCTGATACCTGTCCTTTGTAGATCACAAAAGAGCAACTACCGTTATGCTTGCCATGTGATTTTTTGGATGTACATCAAAGGATCAAACTATCCTTCTTGTTTCATCGGCTTGGTTGGATGAACAGAATCTTCGATTTGTCATGACATAGTCCAGGGGTGTAAACAGCGTAAGTGAACGTAACCGCTGAATTATCGAGGATGCTCCTGATCATCTGTCCTCAATGTACCAAGCCGTTCATTTACATACCATAAATTAATCTTGGCCTCGGGAAATCCTTATTGAATTGAATTAAAATAAATTAATATGTTGTAAGAAAGAAATTGTCTTTCAAAACAATTCCGCCATGTCCCTGATTGGGACCCGCTTCATTAGCATCATATGCACACAATCTCTCCAATTACTTAGCAGTATTTATCCAGTTGTCCTGGATATTACTTCCTTTCAAAGGATCGGTGCATATTTTGGCATTCTGGTTTTGCACACTTTGGGTTATTTTGCCGTGATGTGAAATGCAATTATTGTGGGCCTCGGGCCCATATCGATATGTGAGGGAGACACTTCCATACTTCTGATGAAGCGTTGAAGCTGCATATAAAAAACCTTGTCAAGAAATAACACATAGTTGATAAGTGGTTACGGTGACCTTGTTTCGTATCGGCTTCGTTGTGTCAACGACATACTCTACATTGTGCGTTAGTACACATCATAACCTTTGGATAACCTGACAGATTTAGGTCATTATCATCCTTACTTGAGTAGGGTTTAAAGTATATATTTGTTTTTAATTGGTTCAATTTGATTTTTTGTATCAGAGCTGGCATTCACTTTGATGCCAACCTACTGTGAACAAAAAAAGGTTGGCGTTTATTTTACATGTAAAACTACACATATATCGGCTTTTACTGTGTATACAAGTACATGGTATCGGCTGCTTATAAAATGACACGCGCTGATCGGGACACCGGATACGATTTACATTAAACAGTTTGTGTAAGTGTATCAACAAACAACGCGGCTTTACTGATATCACGTTATCCTTGATCATAAACGGCTAAAGCTTTTAGACACACACACATATAATATTTCAATTTTGTATTACTATATGAATAACTTAGGTTGTTAATACATTTATGCTTCGTGTTTTAATTCCGTTTGTGCAGGGAAGCATATATACTACGTTCGTCTGTAGTTTATGTAATGATAGATTTGCCAATAATGAAGTATATATTAATTAGATGTTATCAAAGGGGTAAAGTTTATTTTTATATAGATCTACTATGTCGTCAGGACAGCACATGAATGGGGTTGATATTTGATGGGATGATATAAAAACGTATGTATATTAAGATGTGGAACAAGTTAGGGATTATATATAAGTATGGCTTATAGTTTAACATGCTTATTGCATATATATGTGTGAAGATATTTGTATGAATTTTATACAACAGCCTAAGTTGTTATGCAAGTTTTTGTTAATTATTTACAGGCATTTTGAATTGTGACCAATTTAATAGCAGCATCTGTACTTAATACTTGTTATTTGTTTGCTTACACTACAATCATACTTCATTTCTCAGGAAGTTCCATGAAGTTCAGCATAGATGTACATCGAGACATGAAAATATACATAACATGATACGATCATGCTTATTCTTGATGTTAACTTTACACATGGATTAATGTCCGAAACATGTTACGATTATAACCTGTCCTTGCAGAAAGCATCACTAAACCTCACGTGTTTCTTTTTTTATTCATGCATTAATGTAATCATTGTTTGTTCTGTTGATGTAATCGCGGTCTCCGCGTTGTTCTGAAAAATAAGATAAAAGTAAGTGTAAGTTTTTCTTCGGTAAGTAAACCTATTTCATGAGGGTATAATGAAAAGTTATTTTTACACAACCAATATTTTTGTTCTATGTGACGTTTCGATGACTTGGACAATATGTACACTGTTATCTTCATCAGACAAAGCGTAGCAGAATCGATTCATTTCGGAAGATATTTAACATACGCTTACAGCGTAGCCGAAATCGACATCGATTTTGTGGATAACTCGTACACATTTTACACTTTTGTGTGCATACGCTTCACTGGTCATTTGTCTAATAAAGGTGACAGTGTACATATCGTACTAGTCATCGAAACGTCATATAGAAAAAACTTTTCATAATCCATGCGTACCAACCTGAAGAAAAAGTTTAGAAAAAATCACGAGGGTATATTTTCTAAATTTTAGTGCAGTATTTTTTATACTCAATTTTTTAGGCATACATGCACAACCGAACAAACAATCACCTGTATCAGTTATTCAGATTAAGAGATAAAAACCCAATTTCTATCAAACATTCGGGAAATAAAAGATCACGAATATAGTATTACCGTTGTCAGTGGAACCCAGATCCTCATATGTATTTGGCTGTGATCTTCCGTGAAGTGATTCATACGCCCTGCTAAGAAGAACAAACATTAATAAATACATCAGGGTACTTTCAAATCGATTTAGGCCACTCCAATATCACTTTATTTAAATATTCTGCGTATTTTTACTAAAATGCAAAAATATTTTAAGTATTAGATGACACAGTAATTACTGCAAAGTATAGATGGTAGTATTAATATTATCACATATTATGGAAGGAATATGGTGACAACGTGTTTGATGTACTTACCTATCCTGCTGCCGATCTGTTGTTGAAGCTTAAAAAGATATCATATATTTGTCTAGTGATACAACCATAGTCTTTCAAATAATACTATATGGGTAAACAATATAGACTGTTACCTGCGATTCGGTCATTTGGTTGATCAATGTTTAAACATCTCGTGTATAAACATGTTTATACTTGAGAAATACTCTTATATAATACTATTATGTCTCACTGTAGAGTTTTCGGACACAGTTAAAACACTCCTTTTTAATTTGTAAAATGAAAGACATGCACCTTTTTGCTTCAAGTAACAAATTCATAAAATTAATTAATTTATATTTCAATTGTGATGATTTCTTTTACTTGTATGGAACAATATGTACATTGTAATCATCTATTTTTCTAAATTAACCGGTATTGATGATTTATCACGAATTTCTGAATATTTAATTGGATATTTTGTTTTAATTTTATTTACCTTGTGTTTGTGTGTGTGATTTGAAAGTGGTCCCAGTCGTAAGGAATGCATATCTATGGGTCTATATATGCAATGCGCTTTAAATTATTCATTCGATTTAACAACTAAAGAAACATAAAGGTCTGGACACATCAAGGTAAGGCTAAATTTAAGTCTTAACAAATAACAAAGCAAACTCCCGAACATCATAAGATAATCGTTTACAATACATTGTTTAACTTAATAGAAAAGGCCATGCAAAGTTCGAGGAACAAGCCAAAAACATCTTATGCGTTGAAACAAAACCATGCATTTGTGGTTAACCTTTTCATAGTTTTATTTATATTTTCTCTGTAATTGGCTGACTAAGATATAATGAGCTCTATAGAATATATTCGGCTATCGTAAATAGAATTAACGGCCAAGCATTAGACCAGTTTTCTACCCTGGGGCAGTAGACTTTGTCGAATATCGCCATATAAATAATGTTTCAAAGACGATACCGGTTATTTGAAGAGTGATGGCATTCGTTAACGAACTTATCTTAAATGATGAATATTTAGATAAACGGGTGTTTGGGTACTTACCATCGCTGTTCGACGGTTTGCCGATACTTTCGTATTCAGATGGCTGCACTCTTCCATCCGAATCTATTTTTTCGTAAAGTGTTCTAGAGAACAGAGCAAGAAAATGTGATCATCTCATCAATCTTAAATTAAGTATAAATTACTGACTGTTGAAGCTTTGTTCTGTCTATAATCACTTTACTGGATTGCAATACATGTCAGTCATTTGTAAGACGGTTGTGACTCTCTGATAATCTGTTTTTTGAGGCATTTGAGACCTAAGATACTCTTGTTCTGCAGGTTTATTTCATTTCTCATACAATTAAACACTTACCTATCTTCACCAGGCGTAAGGGGTCCTTTGAAACGAAAATGCATTTAAAAATATAAATTTAACAAAGAAATTAAGCGCAATATATTTCATAAGATAATCATGATTTCTCTTCTGGAAAACGTAATGTGACATAATTAAATGACAATGTCCAATTAATTTGATGAAATTACAGAGAGTTTAGAGTGCCGATACACTCTAATGGCACTCAGTCCTTAGTTCCATATATATGATAGATACAAAGCCAAAATTATTACAATTATTACAATTAGTATTGAGTGTGAAAATACATATTTCTTTTCGAGAATGTGTCCTTTTTTATGTACAGATGCTACACAATATTGTGATATATGGTTAAGCGTGGGGTATGACGTTTCGTACAAAGGGTAGCTGGAGCTTTTTCATACCTTACTGACCGATAAACTTAAACTTAAGCAGCCAAGGGGTTAGTAGTTCTATGGGCATATTACTGCAGTTCTGTCTTGGCAGGTCGTAAATAAAAGATCATATATCATTATTGTAACATAATTAAACAATGACGTTATTGCGTTTGTATAACTAGACAAACTTTTTTTTCATAGATTTGAATTCGTCTGGCATAAACCCTTCATGAACTTCTAGATTATCTTTTAGTCCAGCTGCCAACATTTTCTTGAATATATTGATATATTTAATGACATATTTTGATCCCCTCTTTTTTGTGGCTTTTCAGAGTCCTTTCGCGGTAGGTACAAATAATGTAGAACTTTTCTTGCACGCCGGGAATACGGTTTCAGAGTTTGTATACAATAGTGCGTAAACAATAGATTGTTTTAGTTGTTGAAATTGTTGAGGGTGGCAGATATGGGTTTGAAGTTGTTCTGTATTGTATTATATAGTAAATAATATATATGACACGAAACAAGTATACGGTAAGATATTTTGACCTCATCTCGTGGTGCAGATGCGACTGTTTACAGTGAAGCCTTCACGGCATACTTTCCCCGACAAAAAGTCATCTATATAAATTAAGGTTATCTAGCCTTACACAGCTGATAGCCATGACTGAGCTGTGTGTTGTGAAGGCTGATATCACTGTAAACTTAAGACATCGATTAATTTATTCCGACCAAGCGTATCAGCTCGCCCTTTATTTTACAAAGTAAAAGTTAATACATAAGCTTGGTCAACTTGACACTTTATAGTATTCACCAAAATATACTGCAATGCACAGTTTATCAATTAATACAACTAAGTCACAAATAATCAATGCGTATTACCCCAACAAATTAATATTTCGTGTACAGTATATATATCTGTGTGTGTGTGTTTTTCACGCCGGAGCTGAACACCTCGACCAGTCCCATCTAGCAGACGTCCTATGTTGTAACACATTCTATGAATAGGCGTGTATGCTATTTTAAGCAATTATTACTTTACATTGACCTAAAAACGTACATTCTAGTTACTCACCACAGTACCAATTAACAATAAGTAAAGTTTCGAATAAATTAAACAACAATAGTATCTGCGAAATCTAGTATATGCGATTACAATCAAAACTTGCACATAGCTTTACATCCATAGCTATAGGCTCTGGGCTTTCTATAGTCTAGAGAACTAAAAAGTATGTTTGACTTATGTTGTCTTTGACAAATCCTATGTATAGATATACGAATTATTTCAACTTCAAATTGTTATACCCAATCATAATAACCGTACCTGCATCGTTCATGTTTCCTAGATGAATAGGTTGTTCAGTTTCCTTGCCTCTGCTTCTATAAAATATAAAAATACATTGATTGACCCGGTGTTAATTATAAGAGAGAGAGAGAGAGAGAGAGAGAGAGAGAGAGAGAGAGAGAGAGAGAGTTTGAAAGTTTACTTACAAACAGGTGATTTTCCCTGTAATCAAAAAATAGAAAAATGTGAATATGCCAATTGATGGGCAAACATGTTGTAAAGATCATTGCATAAAACGTCTTCATATAACAGGCGTGGACACATCTAATTTAAAGTCGAAGTAACTTCAACAATGACTTCATAACTTAAAAAATGACAGGGAAAAAGCGTTGATGTCTAAAAATGTATTCCAAGAAAACAATTCACGTGCTCGTGATTACATTTCTTGATATATATCTAACATGTACATACTCTAATAAAAAAAAATGATAATACCTTTGTTTTTCAATTTTGGTAAATGATGATTCCAAGGAATCTATGTGTAGCAGCGAAAGTTCAATAAACAGTAGCTTAAAATTTAAGATATTTCTCGATTTACACAAGATTAGGCGCTTGTTGATTCAGAAACGGTTTAATTTAATCTGACATTGATGAAATACTCTGAATATCTCTTCATAAACGTATGTGTAAAGAGAACAAGCTTGCTATCTGCTTTAAATGTTGATGCTATTTTTTTTTTTAATTTCAAATAAAAGAATGTTTGAAAAATATGCAAACCTACGTTTGATGAAGACGATAATAATTGCCATCGTCGAAATCACCGCTATAATGCCAATGCAGAGCATAGCTACACCTGCATTGAACATGGCGGTGTTCTCAGTCGGAGAAAGTTTTTCTGCAAAAGTACGACATAGGGAAGATTAATATATTTACGGAATGGTTTCTTCAATAACGTCAAGTACCTCTTTCAGGGAGTGACACTGTTTATAATACATACACACTTTTCTTATTATTAGTATGAAGTTTTGAAACTTATATAGTTATGTTTTTTATTTATACATCCCTCTTTCTGTTTAAACAGTAGTTTTGACCAATTTTGATTTCAACCTTTTTAAATCCTTTCATCACAAATGAATCCTAGAACGACAAGGCAGCTATTTGGTGGAGCGTAATTCATTTTGGCATACTCGGCCTATAACATGAAATTCACGCGTTTGCGCCTTACGTCCACCTTCACTAATATCGTCAAGCCTGTTGTGACAAAATGATAAAAAACATATTTACCATGGACAGTACATTTCCCTATTTCCGTCGATGTTACATTTCCAAAGCTGTTAAGCGCCAATATAGTGAAAATATGTAACGAGTTCTCCTCCAGATTGTCCAGTGTCATAACGTAGTCATCGGTTCCGTTTTCAATGATAATATCACGATACGCTTTAACCGATCCGTCTGTTTTGTACAGAACCTGGAAAGTCTGTTTGTAACCGCCATTATTCCCCGCCCGCCAGGACACCTCTGCGGAACCGAACCCCTTACAGTCGGCAAACACATGTGTGGGAGGAGAAGGTGGTCCTGAAACAATAGCGAATGTTTCATACCTGTCGAATTATCAAAGCGAATGTAGTGCGGAGATGGTACATGTATATGGTACTACAATGCACGAAGATAAAACATAATTTTGATAGTTTTGCAGGTGTTGTGGGTTTTTTCAGTGTCTGATGTATGGTTGAAAAAGCATAATTAGGTTTCGTATTTTCATTATTTTAACTACATCAGATACTTTCGATATTTAAAGAGGGCGATTTATATCTATCGAATATTTTTCATGTTAAAATGTTTTAAATGCCAACTTAAATGTCTTTTGCAGAAATATTGTAAAGGATGTGACACGCCATAGCTGAGAGGGGATAGAGTACAGGCGACACCAGGCATCACATACATTTTTTTGCTGAACTCCGAAGGTTTCGCGCTCGCATTTTGAAATATGCAACCTGTGTAATGCTTGTGTGATGATCATACATTTAGCTCAATTGACCAACCCGACAACACCACAAATTGATAATCATTTGAGTTTATCATTCATGTAGCTCTGCACAAGTACCAGCTTTTTTAGAAATACGCCAGTTAACATTGTAGAATCTAGAATTCACACCGAGCCACTCATGACAGAACTCAGCCACATATGGTTGTCATGGGACTGACTTGTCCTGTCTTTGTAACTTAACCACCTTCATGCGGGCCAGAACCGTAAAATCAGGGCAAAATTATGTCTCTAAGCGTTAAGCGTTACGCACCGTGCGCCGAATAGATACTTATTACCGTACTGTACTCAATTATTACGCCAAAAACGTTACCAACGTTAACACACTGTGTGTACCACATAACTAGAAAGCTGCAACAAGGAAAATTGACGGTAAATGTGCTCACAATAGAGGAAAACATGCCTCTTGTATATAAAACAGCGCCATGAATTATATTGATTATCGAGTGTTTGCAGTTCTAGCTTGAAAGTTAATCCATACTAGCTATTAGTAATGCATTGCTCAGTGAACCACAGTGCAATAGATAATAGCAATTACACTAAATATCTGACCATTATAGGACCATTTCATAGTAAATAGATAATAAGAATTACTTACCTCAAATGTGGAGTAAGGGTTGGCCAAAACCAGCCTATATCGAAGTAGTTACTGCTGAAAATAAGTCTACAATCTGGTTGTACCATCCGTCAAGTAAGTAAACCAACTCACTTGTACAGATGCATCCCTGCATGCATCCCATCTATTGACCCCCACTAGGATATACATATACTAAGACTATGAACAGGAATACAATAGAAAGTAAAAAAAAATCATAGTGATCCTTATGTGTAACCATTAAACACCTAACTATTCCACTAACCACAGTAGGGTGATATGGATCAGATAAAGCGGTCCGTAAGGGGAACATATTATACATGAGCCTACACTTAACTTTAGTTATAGCAAAAGAGGTTATATGAATGTGACAGATATAATCATGAAATCTGTTATAGTGTAAAACAATTAAGATGACAGTAACGCATTGTGGTAATGTAGAGCTGCATGATTTTTCTTTTCCGAATTCTTATCAGGAACATTGTTTACGGTACATACACAGCTTTAATATACATAATTTTATAACGTTAAAATAAGGCAAAGATATAAAACGATAAAAAGTTAACATATTGTTGTAATATTTAGATAAACCGATTGAAATTACGTTTTGCATTCTGCAGATTATTAACGAAGCGCTGTCTTATTATTCAGTTGTCGCCTTATAATTACCAAGATAATAAAACGTCACAATCGTGTATTTCAACGAGTGAATTGGTTATTGAAGTATTCCATCCATTTTAACGCAATCTTAAAAAATAGATATTTGCTTGAAATAGAACAAAGTAAACAAAGTTATATTTACCTTTGTCAGAAAGATAAAATCCGAAATTTTGTATTCCCGCGTCATTAGTCACCCTGAGTGTGTAGTTAGTGAAGTCTTCGTGTTGTAGAGTTTGGACACTGACCGTTGCAGTAAAACCACCAACTGTTATGTCTGTATCATGAAACGTCAGAGATACATTGGACGTAACGGTGTTGATGACAAACCGATTACCTACTACTGTCTGATTACTGAAAAGTTCCACCTTACTGTACCCACTTGTACTGTAGAACAGAACCGATATTGTTATAGACTTTTCCATTTGTCCTGGAAATATCCAATTACTGTGATCGAAGACTGGTGGAGCTGCAATAAAGTTTTAAAATACATAACAATCATTTAAAAAAGTCAGTACTCTTGATCTAGTGAACAAGTCGTTAATGTTGATATGTCAGAAACGATATCAGTATTTTATCGTTCAATGTATATTACTACGTTAACATGACAATTGTTCATTGGTTGCCCTGCTGTACTCCAAAAAATTTGAAATAAGAAGCGCCAGCATCGCGTTGACACAAAAACACCTTAGATTAATGCGCAATGCACGATTTGCCCTGTTTTAATCTGCATAGGCACATTCAGTTCGAAAGAATATTTCATACTTTTTGTCAAAGGAAAAACTGAATATCAGAATATTTCAAAACTTAACATTACTCTCAATATTTGGGAGTGTTATAGACCTGCTCGATTGATTGATTTATAGAGTACTGTTTCACAACATCTGAAATATATATGGCAACGAAATTGATTAACAGTACAATATCTCAAACGAAATTTTGAAGCGTGGCTTTTATATTATGTTCTAACAACGATCAAGAGAGAGCTCAGTAAAGGTAATCGGAAAGATAAAGGCTCTAAAACAATCGCCTGAACAATTTCATCTATCAGCTAATTTGTATCCATCCTTGACTTGCATGTATGATTTATCGTCTACAAAAGTGGTACATCATCAATAAAAAAAGTTTACAAATGCTGGCCTCGTGACATTCACACCGACTCTGGATTAAAAAGTTGTGAAGCAATATTTGACATGAGTAGAATATTTACAAATCAATAAGCCTGACCATTTTTCACATTTACATAATGGAAACCATATTATGAATTCCACATATAGGACAATGTTAACAGTTGTATATGAAAGGTTGTGGTGTGCTCGATTTTGACGAAAACATCACAGAACAATTATATTACAACTAAATGTAAATCAAAATATTGAAAATGCTGCGCTAAACGAGTTAACATATATTTATTTAGATATTTATTGTAAGCTATAAAGTTTACATACCGTTGACACTAAGAAACACTCTCTTGTCGAATACCATCTGATTATTTCTTCCTGGTACTCCGTTCTGTACCTTGCATACATAGTAACCAGTATCCTGGTATCTAGCGTCCAATCCAGGATCAGGGATTGTCAACACAGACTCATTACCACTGGTTACTCCATCCAGCTCACGAATTAACTGACTATACTCAGACATATGCTGCCACTTGGAAAATGTGAAAGATTGAGGATTCCCGTCAGGTGCGCATCTCAGTTGTCTGCTGGCAGTATCATCAACAAAAGAGTAATTGCTGTAAGTGATGCTCATCTGGTCAGGGGGATCTGTGTGATAACAAATGTCTCATTGGATTATATGGATCACATAACGGGAAATAAAACATCGTGTTCCCATCACGTACTCAAGTTTTCCCAGTTATTTTTCCCTTTAATGGGTACTCTTTTGAAAAATGAGACTGAAGCAGATGACAACAACGGCGCAGAAACCTTTTCTTTCTCATTGTTTTGTAATTGTTCTATTTCGGTAAAATAACATATTTATTGCCCACGTAAAAGGGAGAGCGATTAGTTATTTGCTCTCTATGATTCAGGTTTCAATCGGAGTTGTTCGCCCTACCGGACAGGCAATAAATGTATTGTTATATTTTCTATATGATGGTCATGATGGCGTTACCTGTAAAGATAATGTGACCACAACACAGGTATTTATGTAATTTTATTAGTTATATATTTTTGTTTAACTTTTTTTTTCAACATATAAATTGTTTTATCTCATAAAGGATATCCTGGTCATATCATCTAAACTCAAACACTTCAAAAAGTGTTAACTGGAGCAACGTTATTTTGTTCTTTTCAATCAAATTTTGTTAATTTGTCGATTGAAGAGGAATTCACAGTTTTGTTATGTATTTTTGCGAAAAAAACATGCTGTTTTACTTACACAATACGTCGAACGTCTGATTGACTGACTTTTGGTAACTGTTGACCTGCTGTCTGGAAACACAGATACAAGCTAGACCAGTATACGTCTTATTCATAGAAAAATGAATACTAGAAGTGACCGTTGTGTTGTCTCTACTGTCAATTGGTGTGTTCCAAAAACTACACACACCAGACCAGGTAAGTGTGGCCAGTGGTTTGCCGCCAACCTGACGACAAGTCATTGTTACCGATACACCATCTGTCAGCTTCTTATTTGCTGGGTCTATGGTCAGGCTCGGGTCAGTCTGTGGCGCCCCTGTGGACAATAGATATAAAAATTGCATTACGTTACATTATCATAATACCGATTGGCAAAGGTACCAAGTTTGCAAAATCAAAATAATAAACAGCATCACTTTAAAGGTCTTGCACTAAATTATATCGATAAAACAATAACAAATTAAAGATGTTTTTACAATGAAATATAAGAGTGATGTTGGTGGTCATTTAAATTATTTATTTCCTAAGAAAATATTTAAATCCTTTACCACAAATATATAAATATAGGAAAAAAAACAAGAGAATACCAAAATGACAAACAAAAACAGAATTCGAACTAAAAAATGATTGCTAAAACTAGGGCAGATAGTGGCAAAGAAAAGATGTTTTGTTGAACCTCAAAATAAGGATAGGATGACTCTTTAATAGATGCTTTAATAATGATAGTTATCACTTAATCAATGCATATTACATGTAATTAATTTCCTTGTTTCAAAATATTTAGCTTTCAAAAAAGCATGTATAGAATATCTGTTTGTATTATATACACTACGTTTTACAAAACGATTTAACTTCTTTCCACTAACTCTGAAGATTCAAAGATATGAAAACTTACACTGTATAATGATGTTGGAGGTTTGAGAGCTGACTGGTATCCTTCCCTCGATGTTCACAGCCTCACACTTTAGTCTACTGTCAGTGTCACCAACACTCCCTGTGATGGTCAGACTCTGCTGTCTCGAATACTTTTCGTCGCCTGCGTCTCGATCAATAGCCGTACCGGCATGATCCGTGATGTTTTTCTCTTCCCTGAACCAAGCAATTTTGGCAACAGGCCGACCGGCAGAAGTGGTACACAAAAAAGTTCGGTTATACCCAGCGGTAATCATCACACTAGGTTGGTACATTCCTGCTGTTGTCATAGTTGCCGTAGTTACTGGCACTGTCATAAAAGTCATATAAAATACAAGCAGCACAAAAAAAATAACAATTAATATATTCAATTAAAGGGCGTGCATTCGAAGCCCAATAAGTGAAAGTATGTCCAAATATGTACAGTATATCTTGACCTTTAGTGGACGCTGAACGAATACTTAGTAGCATTATAATTGTTATTTGATAGCATTTCCACCACAACGTGGTTACACTGGTTACTAAAATGCATGGTATATCTAATGAACGTCTGCGTATTTTGGATTGCATTAACATTGGCTGAACAACATATTGTTTGGTTTGGTTTATGGCTTTAACGTCCTACCAACAGCTACGGTCATTTACGGACGTGCCTCCGTGTGTATGCGTGCTGGGGGCAGGGCATGTTGTTGGTTCCCTCCTTGTCATAGCGCGCATCAGATTCTGACTTGATAATGATATCTCACTGACGTGCCAAACCGAAGGCACCCATCAAAATAATCCTCCCTGTCACATTGTACTGACAACGGGTGAACCTGTTGTCGAAATCCCCCTTAATGCCAATCGTTAACCACTACTGCTTTAAGGACTTATGTATGTCAGAGGCCTAAGGACAGATTCAATCACCTCCTCACCTGGGCGAACGTTCTGTATTAAAGCCAAAATCGAGGTATTGCCAAGCAAGGCGCTAGTTAATAAAAGGTATTCAGTAGAGAGAAATAAAAAGGCCCCATATATTGCGATTGGTGCAGCATGTTTATTTTGGTCGCTATTGATTCCAAAAAGGAGAGGGCACAGAAGCAAATCCCTAATTCCACAGGGATTCCCCGCATCAGTTGCCTCTAACGACACATGCAGTGGGTACTTTATGACAGTCTCAATCCTCGACCTGCAGGGTTTCTGAACAATGGAAGAAGTTTAATATGTAAAGATGCCATCATATTAATCTATTATATGTGTATTATTAAGCTAAATGCATGTGTAAAGCCAGAATGTAATTCGCCAATATTAATTGTTGCCCAGAATGAATAAAATCCGGATGGACCTATGAATTGAAAACAGTTTGAATTCAGATTTTTGATAAAGCAGTTGCGAAACATGATAGAAACAAAGTTAGCTGAGAAATCATATCTGATAATGAACTAGTGCACTTATGGAGCTAGGAAAGGAATTTCAAACAAGCACCATAAGCTTGTCTCTTATAAGGTTTTGTATCAAAGTTAATAAAGGGAATTGGAAGGTTGTACGAACTCTCAGACACAAGTAACATATAATCTCGATCCTATCTCATGAAAGCGCTTTCTGCAGGTAAAATGCGTAAGATGTTTCAGTTGGAAAGAACCTAGATACATCAAGTTGAATTTAACATGAGTATGAGCTTTAATGTTAGGATTATATTTCTTTTCAACAAAATGAACTGAAGCGATTTAGCAAATAAATCCGTATGGATGGAGAAATGTAATAACTACGTCCCAGATGATCCACGTCGACGAGTGATGATCTCAGACAACTCGAAATCTTGCATTTTAGGTTGTGTCACACAAAATAGCTAGAGTAAAAAGTGTCACTTGTAGTGACCTCTGATATAATGGCTATCTGTCGACCACCAACGGTGGTAAAGCTGATAATTGTATTCATTTTTTGGAAAGTTTTTTGTATTGCATCGTTTATACTGTTCGCTTTCTTTTATTTCTTCAGATCTATTTCATGCATTCACATAAACAATTGTAGGCGGTACATATTGTCAGAATACTCATACTATGGGAGAAACATAGTTAAATCTTGTATTCCTCTTGTAATGTATTTGACGATCCCCGAAAAGGGGGAATTATCTTTTAACGCAGCATGCCATAGTTATAATTACAAAATCGAAAAAGCACAGAATTACCACTTATACCATGTTTACAAAGTAAGGAAACAATACGTACCAATAAGTGTAAGTTGTACAATATTGCTTACAGCACCGAGGAATATTTCACATGTCCAGTCTGTCCCGTGCTCATCCTCTGTAACGTAGGCTGCCGGGATTGTGAGTGACATTTGTCGTACAGGGAATGAACCACAGGTGAATGTGTAGTTCTCTCCTTCCTGTGTTTTCAATGAGGTACAGGAAGTGCTGTTAACAAAGGACCGCCCAACTAAGATTGTGTTCTTCTTGTAAAACACCTGTATGTTGGTAGTGATGTCCCGCCTGACATCACAGGTAAACGTCACTTCCTCTCGAACTACTGGAGACGACGGCGTCACTGACAACGACACGGTCTGGGCTAAAATGTTTGAGAAATATTTTACCAAACATGTCTTTTACATGTACTCTATTTAACATCATAAATGATGAAGACGTGCTGATATGCAAACACTAAGAGATTAAAATAAAAATAATAGATATTATGTTTGAAAGGAAGGTAATCAGATGAAAAGGATGTCATAAAAGAACCATCTAAAGTGTAAAACGTATGTTATTTTTTTTACTAGTGAAAAAATTCACTTTTTCTGATCTGACTAACTAGCACTTAAGATTACGTCAGAAAAAGTAATTTGTTGACGTTGTAAATATGACGCGTGCGGCCGAGGATTATGGTTTTGTTTCGGGCAATAGGAATACATGTATACCATGTAAATACTTCCATGCATACAAATTCCAGAGATGAGGGACGAAAAGTATTTACTACTCGGATGGTACCGGTACTGAATCTGTTACTGTTTCAAATAGTCACGTGATGTTATCCGCGCTTTGTTGAAAAGGGCTTTCCCGTCCAAATCGGTTGGTCATACTGGACATTTGGAACAGTCTATGAATATAAGGAAAGCAAGGAAACATAATTCTAAGTGCAGAAACACATTCAATAACTGAAATATTGTTTTTAACGGTATGTCCTTTTAACAGCACTACATCTTATATAATCTGTCACGCAATAAAGACTGACTTCGAGATAAAGCTTTAACATGGACAAGAGTTTTATCAGGATAGCTGCACTCTTACAAATTGGTTTGGTTTTAGTTTTAATTTGTTTAACGTCTTATTAACAGCTAAGATTATTTAAGGCCGTGCATCCATGTGTGTTATGTAAGCGTGTAAGTGTGTATGTGTGCCGGAGAAGGGTATGTTGGGGTACTGCCTCCTTGTTATAGCGCGGATCTGAAGACGACTGTATAGTGCTATCTCTTATAATTTTAAAACTCTGATTTAAATCCAAAACGTTGTATTAGTGACAAAGCTACAGTTACAATTATATGATGATATTGCGTATTGTTTTGTTATAATATTTCACAGACTTATGTTTTGGTGTTTAGAATATATCTACCACTAAATCCAGAAATCTAAATTATAACCGAAATGGACACTTAATGAATTGTTCAGATCTAAGATAAGAAAAAACAAACATTATTGAAAAACATATTACATTATGATTGAAATTATATGTTACATGGCGTCGTTCATATAGTATTACGCCTTTAAGGGAACCAAGGCATGTAAGAGTTGCTATTCATAGCATGTAATGTATCTTATAAAAAGTTTCCTTTGATACCAGGAAGGGTCAGACAGATATAGTTTTCCCATGGACTACAACACTGTTAAGGAGACCACAAAAATAAGTACATACATGCATTTGCCTGTAAAAGCACTTTTTATATTGCTTTAGATTCCAGTTTATATTTGTATGTACACCTAATAATGTGATATTATATCATGAACCGATATTAATACATGTGTTATGTTACATTGGGTGTTTATAATAATAAAAACATATGCTAACTGGTAAGTAATTGTAAGAGGCAAAGCTATTTCACATAATTAACACGTACCCGCAACATTAAGTGTGTAGTCGGGGCTCTCTTCAACACTGACAGGTAGATTTGGGTTGGTACGACGACAAAACCACACAGATCCATGGTCCCCTGTCCGTGGCTGTATGACCCACTGGAACACTGTACCATAGAGAGTCGAGTTGGCAATACATGAGCAGACATTTGGGCCACATTGGACGGGTGTTGTTAAGGTGTTGTAGCATTGTCCGAGAGCTACTTGTAAACTACCTACTGGTAAAAACACGTCAGGACGACGGTACAGCTGGACACTGTTGGCCTCATCTGGTACGTCACACGTCAGGGTAAAGTCATTCCCGGGGACAGCGTACTCAGAGGACCCGCTTAATGTTACAGCAACTGTTTCACATGGAAAGTAATGTATTCACATTTTTTTAAACACAGAGTAAGGAACACGTTTTTGTTGGTAAAATTTTGCAGGATTTATACCTTTACTGATGTTATCACGCAAGATATTTAAATGGTGCTTAAAAATGCTTGGATTTAAAAAAATATATAAAAAAATGGGGGGATACAAATTCGAAGAAAAACATCAAGGAAATGAAATTATTAATAAACCTTTCTTTGTTGCATTTTAAACTGAAAGCTTTTTGGAAAGTGATAAGGGTGCATATACCATTTCTGGAAACATCAAACTGGAGAATGATACACATATTGTTACTGTATACACAAAACAATGCTTAGAATTTGAAAACTGGAAGTTGACCAATTCTTATTCATGATCTTCCCGATCCTGAAGAAAGTTAATGTAGACATGAGGGTGTTGTCGGAGAAGCAATTCCTTATTCAAGTGTCTTGTTTTGTAAGTGTATTAGTGGAATACCACAAATTCGGAAAATGACATCCATGTGAAAAAACCCGTTGGTAGGTAAAAAGACCTACGGAAATAAAATCCCCATAAATTAAATAAAATTACAGTAATCACTCTGCCTGGTATGCAATAGTTTTAAGTAGTGGTTATTGATACAAATTAACATGTTTATATTTAGTTAAAAGGAATGGTGTATGATGCTAATTATCTGACTATCGTCATTATCAGGTTATTTACCGGTTCGATTCACTTTTTTTTGTCAGGCTATTGTCATTTTTATCATGAGATATAATGGCAGGATAATTGAACATTTTATCAAGGAGAGATGTCTATTCTGTATTTCATATTATTATATGAGATATCTTGTTTAATAAAAAAGACAAACCAAAAAATGATATAATTTATGTTATAGATATCCAAGCTATTTTTCTTAATGAGATATCTTATAAATTATACAATTATGGACTTTCGTGCAGGTAAATATGATGTGATATGAACCAGGAAAAAGCAATATTGATCGAGGCGAAGTCTCTTATATTCAACCACAATTACAATAATATACCCATACATATATTTTCCCCCAAATATATTATATATGTTTAAAATTAATCAAGCGTCTATAGGCAGATATACTTATAGCGCTTTAACCCTCAATTAGAGATAGATGTGTAATAATAATACTTATCTGTGGCTACTAATGCTCAGTCTGTGTACCTTTGGTATTTGCAGTTTCATTTAGTTTTAGCATACTGTATCATTTATTAAATTTTGTATATGCAATCACATGTGTTCGAATTACGTTCATTTCGCAAGCGTAGCTCTGTAGTGGTAATGGTTATTTTTGTTTTTAATATGTGACGTAAAATAACAATTAGTGTTGCCTTTACATACCGGTATCATTTTAACATGAACGCATTTAAACCTTTGCAATTTATACTTCAGGTGAAGATAGAAGTCACCCAACACCGTTAAATGTAGCAAGGTTTGGCGAGCTACTCACCCTGGCTTACCTGTAAGGAAAGTGCCATGATAAAAAAGAGTGTTAACTGTAGCTTTGCTAGTCATCAACCTTCGAGACGATGGCGATAGTATAACAGTATGATGTCCAGGATTATACTCCAGGTCTATCTTACTGAAATTTTACTCTTAAAACACTGTTGTAGGTTATATTTTACCCTTTTTCGCCTGCACTATTCTTTCATTAACGTCCCACAAGGTATGATTTCTTTTCAGAAATAATTTATTAAAGCTGCAGTCACGCCGGTCATTTTGTGTCCAGAACGTATTTATATTCCTCGCAGTGTTACGGGGATCCTTCAGGGCACCTTTTGACACTTTTATTTAAATATTTAACCTTTTCACCCCTATGTAATTAATTAACCCTACAAAGCCTTGATCTGGATAGGTTTATTATGGTCTACAGTGGTGAAAGGGATAATCACGCAATACACATTTGTTTAATGAGGCTTAAATTTGGATTGTGCGACGTTTTATCCTGTACTTTTCAACACGACGTTGTGGTCAAATTTAAAATATTACGAGCTAGGTAGATTAAAAATAATACCGTATCGCCCAGTATATATTGTTGATCAATTTTTGTCTGTGATTTTTTCAATGAGCTAAATATTGATCTTAAGTATTACTTTTCATTATGTTCTGTACNTCGGGCAGGCGACCTCATACTTTTTTACCTCTGCTCGGTGTATCGAACTCTATCCGCCTTGGTGAAATTTGAGTGCGTTATTTACCAAGCAGTCCGACCACCCAAGCATATCATCATGTAGGGATGCAAGATATACTGATTTTATCCCATCGCCTCTTACTCGTTTTACCCCTATGTAACATTAGTAGACTGTACCATGCATTGATATGAATGAGTATATTACGGTGTACAGGGGTGAAAGGGTTAACGAAGGATCAGAACCAAGTCGCTTACGAACTTAATAATGCATTCTCAGGCAGGAATCCCCCATTATAAACATATAGTTCAAACTGTAAATGTTTACACTGACACTCGTTCATGTGTACGACACAAACTTTATATAGTTACAAATACAGTACAATCGTTACTAACCTGTTGATTAGTGGATTGTCAGTAGTAAGATCAATATCTTCATTTTACAGGGAGATACCCATGCATGCAGCTTACGTCTATAAATGTCAGACATGTTTCTTAACATATGTATGTGTGTTCCGTACTATTGTTTACAAACTTCCTGGTCTGTGTAGCCCCTTACTGTAGTAAATATACCGGGTCCATATCTGTGTAACCGTCTGCTGTTACCTGTGCTTGATATACTAATAATAGATAAGAGTTTCCACCTACACGTCATGCGTAAAAGCTATTCACTGAGTAGTATTTTATTGGTGCGCTTGTTAGTAGTATTTTGGGGAAAGAACTATCTAATATAGTTTATAGAAATTTTGGAAAATAAAAGGTAATCTTTGAGAAATTTTAAAAGTAATAAACCAAGTGCTTGTTGCAATAAAGGACCGAGGAATAACTAATTCACAGAGAACTATTATTTGTTATCAAATATTTCTACATTAGTTTATTCAACAATGTTATGTATACCCAAACCACGATATTTGGAAGTGGATGGGTTGTCATTAGCTGGCATGTCCCTCTCGCGTCGCTGTTCTGGGTCTTATTTCTTGTGTATGGAGGTGATGTATATAAATGCCTATATGGTAATTTTGTATGCTGAGGTTTAGTTTAAACCCGAGAGTGAGAGCTTTCATGTGTGGACATTTTTGTAACGGGGTAGAAATGGTTCGGCAAAAGTGAAATGTGCCTGCGAAACTCTTTATGAAATTACGAAATTTATAACGAAATCTAGAAAGTAAGACAGTGCTAATCTTATAATTTAATTTGGTAATAACTCATTGAATGATGATGTTTCTTTAACATTCACTAGACTAATAACTAGTGTTGCATGTACTATACAATTTAATCAATATCAATGCAAAGACTATACACTGACTGAGAGAATAAATTTAACCTTGGGAAATCTTGACGATATCATGTTGTTTTTAGTAATTTANCTATTTGAAAATGCTCTACTGAAACATGAAACGCTGTATGTGTACTCGTACATTCAATACACATGTAACTAACGTCACATGAAGTACAAGACCTATATAATCACCCTGCACTCGATCTATACGACAACATAACACTTGACTCCTCAACTACCTCCTTGTTTCACAAGTCCTTGAAGTTAATTACTTCCGCTGAACTGAAGTATGTGTAGTGATGTCATATGCTCAGCTGTAATGTAGTAGGAACATTGACAACGGCCACATGTGAATATATCTTATATATTACATTTTTCAATGCTTTATTTGGCAACACAATGAAGCACCTTTATATACCGTACATTAATGATCGGTTATAAACTTTTTAATGAGGCGAATATGTGGTAATACAGATTTTTCTTGTCACATCCTCAAAGTAGGGGAAGATTTAATTAGTCTTCATACATGAGGTAAGCAAACTGCATTTGTAACGAGAGGCCCAATGGGCCTGAATCGCTCATCTGGTATTAATCTCACACTTGTAATCTTAAACTTGGACTAAAATACAGCTAGAGGCAGAATATCAGCGTTTGATTCATAAAAACATATTAAAAGATTTAAACATATGACCACTGTGACCTTGAATAAGGGCGAAGGTCATACATTTTAACAAACTTGGTAGCCCTTCTTTCCAGACTGTAAATGGCCAAATATCATCACCCTTGGCCTTTTGCTAATTGAGAAGTCGTTTAAAGTTTTTTTTTTAAACATATTTGACCCCTGTGACCATGGATATACTTCAAGGTAATTCATTTGAACAAAATTGGTAGCCCTTTATCCTAGCATGCTACTTGCCAAATATCATAACCCTAGGCCTCTTGGTTAATAAGAAGAGGTTGTATCAAGGTTTTAAACATATTTGACCCCTGTGACCTTGAATATGAGTTAAGGTCATTCACTTGAACAAACTTGGTAGCCTTCATCCCAGCATGTTACTTGCCAAATATCATAACCCTAGGCCTCTTAGTTATTTAGAAGTTATACAAAGGTTTCAAACATATTTGACCCCTGTGACCTTGAATATTTGTCAAAGTCATTTATTTGAACAAACTCGGTAGCCCTTCATCACAGCATAACACTGGCCAAATAAAATCCTCTTAGGCCTTTTGGTTATTAAGAAGAAGTTGTTTAAAGGTTTTTAACATATTTGACCCCTGTAACCTTAAATATAAATAAAGGTCATTCATTTGAACAAACTTGGTAGACCTTTATCCCAGCATGCTACTTGCCAAATATCATAATCCTAGGCCTCTTGATTATTCAGAAAAAATTATTTCAAGGTTTTAAACATATTTGAACCCTGTGACCTTGAATATTTGTCAAAGTCATTCATTTGAACAAACTTGGTTGCCCTTCATCCCAGCATGATACTGGCCAAATATCATAATCATAGGACTTGTGGTTATTGAGAAGAGGTTGTTTAAATGTTTTAAACACATTTCATCATTGT